AAGTGAATCGAAGGTCCAAAGCCGTTGAAAACGAAATGGCATGGAGTTCTGAGGCTGAGACAAAAGGCCAGGCGTTCCCCACTCAAAGAACAACAACAATCAGGTCGAATCACCAGTCCATAGTTTATTGCAGCAGAAACAACCACAATCAGGTACGACGCACAGGCAAAGGGTGGGCGATTGATGGTCTGAGGAGAGGGGCGAAGGCGAGAGACGGAGGAGGAGAGAGCAGCGGCAACACGGACAGGATGGCTGGAGGGGAAGGAGGGGAATAGCGAGGCAGGGAGAGACGCACTTGAGAATGGCATGGGACGAATTTTGCTGCACCGGTAGCACTGACCGACAAGCATTTGGTAGCACCAAGAGGATTGCGGTGGAAGCATCAAGCGGAGGGAAAGGGCAGCGAGGAGGTAGAGAGGCAGCGAGGGGTAGAGGCAGCGAGGAGGTAGAGAGCACAAGGCATAGAGCAGAACCGGCAAAGGCAGTGAAAGCATAAAACGCAAAGGAATATTGCCACACACTGGGTGGGAGGAATGACATGGGCACTGACAGGAGAGCAAAGGCAGCAAGCATGCGGAGGCAGCAGGCAGCAGCAGTCAGAGTAGCTGCTGCAGATGGTGTGTGGGCGATGGGGGGGGAAGGGGAGGAGGAGGAGGAGGAGGCGGAGGAGAGAGCAGGAGAGGATAGGAGACCGTCCAGTATTGCTGTGATAAGCGCAGTGGGGTCCACTCTGAGGAGAGGCAGGGAGGGAGGGAGGAGGCGGGGCAAAAAAGAACGGGGTGCAATGGGGGAGGGTGGAAAGGTGAGATTTGGTTTGAGCAAAGAAAAAAAAGGAGAGCAAGGAACGAGACGAGAACAGCGAAGCCAACAGAAAGGGAGCGAGCATGGGGGGAAGAAGGGGCAGGGGGTGAGAGACTGAATGGTCATCATTCTGAGCAAACGCTTGCGGTAACTACTCATACTGTACACCGGGTTGTGGTAGCCCTACGTCATGCCATGTGGCAGCAGCCCATTGGCCGTTGCAGCTGCAACAAGTGGCGAGGAGTGGAGATGGAGGAGCGCCCTCACACACGCCTGGTGGGGGAGAGATGGGGAGGATGGGAAGGGCGAGAGGGGGAGGTATAGACGGACGAATTATGCCAGCGAGAGGGGGGAGAAGAAGGGGGCGTTGTTGGAAGGGAGGAATCAGTGCGAGATGGTTGTGGCTGCGGATCAGGACTTGAAAAGCTTTTGAAAGGGCTACGTTACGCACCTGATTGGCTGTCACGATGTGGGAGAGAAGTGAGAGCCCTACTGGCTGACAGCTATCTCAAGTGAACTAAACGGGCAACTGAGAAAACGGCAAGTATTCAGAAGGACTAAGAAACGCACCTGATTGGCTGTCAGGATGTGCGACAGCAGCGACAGCCCACTGCCAGCTCCTCCGCCGCTTCCTCTCCTCCCAGCCCTGCGCTGGTGCTGACATCAGCACTGCCAATGGCAGTCTGCCACGTGGCAGAGGACGCATCCTGCTGCTGTGCGAGGTGAACGAGGCGGAAGAAAAGGATCAGCAGTGCGCTCAGGGGGACCTGGTGTAGGGGGGGGAGGAAGGGGGGGTGGGTGGGCGGAGGGGGAAGCAGGGCACCACGAGGCGGAAGAGAAGGATGAGCAGTGTGCTCAAGGGGAACTGCAAGAGAAGGAGAAGTCTGTGCACGAGTTGGTTCCATCCATCGCTCACCTCAAAATGCACGACAGCCGGTCCATCTCCTTCCCGGCTCCCCCCTCCACCACCTCCCCCCGTGTCCCTGCGGGCACCAGCAGCCCCCCAGAGCGCGGCACGGGAAGGGCTTGGGGCGCGGAGAAGGAGGAGAGGGCGGCGTAGGCGGGCGGCAGGGGCAGCAGCAGAGCCGCTCCCATGGTGCTCTCGAGAAACTCAAAGCTGGGGGTGGGGGGAAGGGGAGGGGGGTGGTGGTGTGGGAGGTCGTTTCCTGAGGTGCCTCAAAGCACCAGGTGCAGAGAGGGAGGGAGGAGGAGGAGGGCGGCAGGGGCAGCAGGAGAGGCGCTCCCAAAGTGCTCTCGACTCTTGAGAAGCTAAAAGCTGGGCGGATGGAAACACAAGTGACCAAGGTAAGAGGAGGGACTCGAGTGCATGTGCATAGGGCGGCCAGGCGCTGTGGGGGAGAGAGAAGAGAGAAGAGGCGCAGGAAGGGGAGGGGGCAGGTGGATAATGACACGCGTGGCGCAAGGTAAAGGTGGGACTCACGTGAACGGGCGGTAGTCCTTGCAAGCACTAGAGAGGCGCACGAGAGGATGACTCACGTGCATTGGGCGGGCCAGGCGCCATGGGAGAGAGCTGAGAGGAGGCGCAGGAGGGGAGGGGCGGGCGGGAAAGTCCCTTCGGGTGGCAGCGAGCAGAGAGCGGATGGGAGCGTCAGAGGGGGAAGCGGAGGCATCCAGAAGTCAGTGCACAGGGACTCCTGTAGTGGTGTGTGTGAAGGTCAGGACTCAGAGGTGGGTTGAAGAAGGGGTTAAGGGAAGAGGTTGTAGGTGGGAGTAACGAGGGGAATATTCCTTGTGGTGGCAGCGAGGCAAGAGCGCATGGAGGCGTCAGAGGGGGATGCAACGCACAGGCGTCCCAAAAATCAGTGCATAGAGATTTCTACAGTAGAGGCGGATGGGGTGAAACAGAGAGTGTAAGGACCTCTTTGGAAGTGGAGAAAGGGGGTATGGGATAGGGGAGGCATGTTGGAAGAAGGTTCACGAGAAGAAAAGCCGATATGGAATGCGGTCAGATGCGGCAAGATGTGGTGAGATGTAGTGAAAAGCGGTGACATGTGATGGCATATGGTAACACACGGTGACAACGCGCTGACCTGCTCTGAGAAGGTACGGCAGATGATCTCCAGAAGGAGGGCATATAGCCGAGTGCCTCTCTGTAATGAGGGTAAGATAAGGTGAATCATTATTGGCAGGTTTCATAGGAAACACAAGCAGGGGAAGCGGAAAGGGAGAATGCGGAAGAGGCGACAAGTGGAAGGAATGTGCGGGAAACTACACGGTCGAGAAAAAAATAGGGCAAAAAGCTGATAGTTATACACACTTATAAATATAATAAACTATTGCCCAGATATTACAGACCTGATCGGAAATATCAAACGCTGTGAGGTAGGCTGTGGTAACTCCCTTGACGCATCTCTTCACCACCCCTGCATCACCTGCGCTCTCACCAGGCAGGTGCGGCAACGCGAGGCAAACACTACTTTCGACAAGAGGCCCTCGTCCAGGAGCTCAAATGTTCAAGCGGGAGCTCCCAGGCAGCAGGCAAAAATACTCGCAAGGACTCCGTCTATTTAAGCTGCCTCAGAGCGCTCGACAGCAGTAGAAGAGCATCAACAGGGAGGAGGAAAAGGAGAAGAGAGCGAAGGATGCAAGGAGGTGAGGGCAAACGAGTGGGGAGGCTCACAGGGTCGTTGGAGGGGTGGGAGGGAGTGAGGAGGAGAGGAGGGAGGAGAGGATCCTATCCAGAGCACCCGCTGAGTAGGCTGCTTGCACGCAGACAGACGGGTTCAGTGCAGGCGACTGCACACAAGAGGGTGAGAGAGGGGAGAAGACGAGAGGAGAGGGTAAGCTGACAGCAGCACCAACAATGAAGAGCGCATGCGGATGACTTTGATGAAAGAAAAGGCTGCCCGCCTGCCTTGCACCATACCGGTAGCTGCGAGGAATCTGGCAGCCACTGCAGCAGCAAGCGGAAGAGACCCCAGGCGAGCAGCACAGGGGACACGTCCAACCCTGCTCCTGCAGCAGCACTGCTCCCAGTCCCAACCACAGGCATGACGCCAGCCAAGCCTATCTCCCCTCCTCCACCCAGCTCCTCCTCGAGTCCCTCTCCGCCATCATCCCCATTCCCCCTCCACCCGCTTCTCTCCCGCCCCCTCACCCGCCCCGCCACCCCTAGCAGCCGCAGCAGAGAGGATGCATGAGAGCCAGGCGGAGAGACGCTGATCCACGTCAGTCAGAGCAGAGGGGGAAGAGAGCGGGTGAGAGGACGCGCTGTTAAGGGGAAGGGGGGAAGGGCGGACGGGGAGGGCGAGAGGAAGGGTGTAAGGCCCACAGCTCATGGCATTGTATACAGCAAAACAAAAACTCCAGGTGAGTACAACAGTGTATTTAATGTACATTAGTGTACGTGACATCCAAAACCAATATTGCCAGAGTCTACCAAGCTCCCTAAGAATAGCATAATTCCTCCTTGCACCAAAGCGCACCTGAACTTCTCTCCTTGCGCCAGAGCCACAACCGCCCCTTCCACGTTGACCGCTGCAATCAGCAGGAGCACAGCGCGGTGCAGTGCGGTGGAAAGGAGTGACTCAGACGCAGCACTGATGGCTAGGGAGGCGAGAGACGCAGAGGAGGAGGAGGAAGAGGAGGAGGAGGATGGAGAAATGGAGTATGGAGCTGGGGAAAGCGGTGCAGATGGAGGGAAGCCGAAGAAAAGCTCCTGGCATGTGGTAAAGGGAGAGGGGTGGCGGAAGAGAGAGGGGAGGAAAGGAAGGATCGATGACAAGAGGAGAGAAGGGAATTGAAAGAACTGATGGAAGGGAGTACGCTAATGCGGTAAAACAAAGGGTGACGTTATGAGTATAAAGAGAAAGGGCACCTGGACGAGTGTGACTATATCGAGGACGACAGCGGCGCTGCAGCCATTACTTGAGGCGATAAGGATGAGAATGTCTAGTAGCAAGCAGGCTTCTAACGAGGATGCCTCGGCCCACTCTGCCACCCCTGCACGATCCTGACAAAAGAAATGATAAGGTGAAAGGAAGAGGGTTTCATGGAGATGGTCCAATCAGAGGGAAACCACAGGAAGCCATGGGAAGGAAGGACACAAGGCCACTGGTTGTGCTGGCGGGAATCCTTACCAGACCATTGGGGGTTCAAACCTTGAAGGGGGTCTCTCAGCTGAGTCATGGCATAAGCTGGAAGGTTTCAAGCAAGGCATGCTAGCACTTACCACAGCCCTGGCCGGTTCAACACTTACCAGAGCCAAGGAGGATAATTGCTCACCAGCGCCTTGGGCGGTTCAAATCGTGGGAGCGCTCTGAGCTGAGCCATGGCGTTTGACAGGAGACCCTCGTCCAGCAGCGCTCTCACCTCCCCCTCAATGGCAGAAGCGTGGGGGGAGGAGGCGTCAGCTGGGCGTAGGCGGGGATGGGAGGTGGGCGGTATTGGGCGGGGACAGATGGAGAACGAGAGGGGGAGCTGAGATCTGGCATTTGACAGGAGACCGTCCTCCAGCAGTGCTCTCACCCCCCCTCATTGGAACACGCGAGGGGGAGGAGGCGTGAGCTGAGATTCAAAGGGAAGGGAGCAGTGAGAAGTTGGAGCAAGGTAAGGGGGAAGCTGCCATGGTGTGTTATAGCACGCAGTGATCCAATAACACCATGCAGTGATCCAATAACACCATGCAGTGATCCAATAACACCATGCAGTGATCCAATAACACCATGCAGTGATCCAATAACACCATGCAGTGGCGCAACACCGCCATGCCATGATGCCACAAAGCATGCTAGTGGGCGGCGCATAGACTGCTGCAGTAGCAGCCCCTATTGACTGGAATAATAACAGCACCGCACCTTGCATCACTAGCAGCAGCCGTACGCACTTGAGCAGATTCTGCCTCTCCTCTCGATACAATGCCGCAGCCTACAGGCACACCGGCGGGAGGAGGGGAGGGGAGAACCGTGAGGAGATTTGAGTGACATCTGGGCGCAAGGATGACTTGCAAGGCACACGCAGGAAAAACGCCATACACATGCTATGCTAACGAGCAAGAAGAGTGCATCCGCGACTATCACAGGCATCCGCATGCATTCACCACACACACATACCTCCTGCACCAATCTCTGCTGCGCTGCCTTCCCCTCCAACCTCCCCCTCTTCTCCACTCCGAGCCCTGCTCCCTTCCCCTCGCCCTCCCCCTCTGCTTCCCCCACCACTGCCCTCTCCCCTCCTGCCGCCCTATCCACCAGAAAGTACGCCTGCATTTCGTCCAAGCCCTGCAAAAAGCAGCGAACAGACTTTTCAGTCGCTTCAAATTCAAACGCCCTCTCCCCTCCTGCCGCCCTACCCACCACAAGGTACGCCTGCATCTCATCCATGCCCTGCGAAACCAAGAGGAACGAACAGAGCTTTGAGACGATTGAAACTGCCTCTCCCCTCCTCCTGCCGCCATATCCACCACAATGTGCGCCTGCGTTTCGTCCAAGCCCTGGAAAGAAAAGCAATAAGCAGTCACGTTTGCTTAGATTTAAGCAAAGCACGATTTTCCCTCTCAAAGCAACTGCACCAGATGTAAGTCACGTCATGGCAGCACGTAGGAGAGTAGCCCTCTGCCTCCCATGTCCCACTTACTAGCACAGCGCTTGCAGCCACAGCAGCTTCCCTCAGCCGTCCCACCACAGGGATAGTCACTTGCTCTGCGCCTGCTGTTGCTCCTACTCCCACTTCCAGGCGAGCAGCGCCTATGGCGTCTCGTGACCGGCTGCTGGGAGGCTTGAAGCGCGCCAAGCCATGCAGCAGCCACGTGTGATGCTCTGATAGGCTCCTGACCTGCATGAGACGGACCAGGGGAAAGAAAGACGGACAGATGGCTCGAGAATGGATGATGTGAAGTTGGCGTGATCCCAGGAAAGAATCCGGGTTACATTTGGTCCTGCTAAGCTGCAGCAGCAATAAGTCACACGCAAAACGGTCCCCTGAATCTGGAATCCACGGGATAAGTCGCTTAGCGAAGTGAACCAGACGAGTTGATCGGTCTTCGTCGCGCTGGTACCACATGCGTTTGCACCGCCTGGCGTAGCGTCACACCTGCAACGTGGCGTCACACCTGGCGTAGCGTCACACCTTGCGTTTGCACCGTTTGCACCGTTTGCTCGTCATGCGCCTGCAACGTGCACGCCTGTACGCGTTTGAATCACACATGCTACTGTCACACGCGTTTGTATCACACGTACCAAGTCGCGACCTCCATCCCCACCACCATCATCACCAGCAGCGCTGTCCGTTTCCCCGCTGTCAATCGCCTCGAGTCTCGCCAGCAAGGCGCCGTGTGGGGACCACCAGAGCGCCGCGTCGACTTTCGACGACGACGCCCTGTTGATCGCCGCTGCCACGCTGGCCATCTGACAAAGCGGCTTGTCCGAGACGTCTCAAAAGCGACACGCGTCGAGGCGAAGGGAGGGGAATTAGAGGCGCACGGACTAGTCGCGTCGGACTGGTGTCGTGAATCGAGCTAAGCCCCAGGAAAATAAGACCGAGACGGGTATTTGGAAGGAACCCTGGCGACGTCGTTCGGGAAATTTGAACAGTGAAAGAAGACCGAGAGCGACAAGGGCTCGGGATTTTTCTGGGGAGGAGTTCGAATGCTCGAACAGGCACTGGGGAAAATAGGTCAAGCGATGACTCTGCGAGCAGGACCAGGCGTTTCGCACGGGGCGAAATAGCGACGCGGTGCATTCCTACTCGCAGACTGCCCTGAAGCGGCGAGCTAGCAGGAGGCACAGAACAACATACACGTCGAGAATTAAATGGCGGAATATCTATCTGATCACTGATCCTGATCACTGATCACTGGTCACTGACTGGAGTACAGAACAGAATCACGTGCTCACGGGAAATAGGGAGCTAGGAGGCAGAATCACTCGTGCTCACGAGCAGGAAGGAGCCAACTCCGAAGGTCCACAAACTCTTGTGTGATTTCGAATTCCCGCTACTGTCAGATGTCAGACTTTGGTACACCGCATTTAGCAGTTACGGATCAGCTCTAGAAATTCAGTTAGATTCCCTCGCAAACACTTGTTACATTGGTGTCATACCTCAGATATTTGACCTAATCGAACGATCGTCAACAAGCGCTCGGCAACTCATTTTCCCAACTTCACCTCCCCCTTCACCCGGAACTTCTGCCCCACCCTCCCTTTTCCTCACCCCGCTTCCCATCCTCCGCGTTTCCCCGCTTCGCCGTTTTTCCGATTCCCATTCGCCTCTCCCCCCCCCACCTCTTTGTGCTCCCGCGTCCCACCGATTTTCCCCGCGCACTCCCCCCGTGCCCTCCCCTTCAAATCCCCTCTCCCTTTTCCTCCTGCCTCTTTCTCCCTCGCGTCTCTCCCTACGCCTAGTCTCTCTTTACCTCACCCACGCCGGGTGTAGGAGCCTCTTGACACGTCAGCGGCAGCCATCGTCGGCGTAGCACGCACGAAACCCTAGCACCATGGGCGAGCGCCTCACATACCGCCGCAGGCACCCCTATGCCACGCGCTCCAACCTCCGCCGCACCGTCCGCACCCCAGGCACGATCCCAATCTCTTCCCCTCACCTTCGGAAACCCGAATTACGCCGCACGTGTGCACGGGTGGAGTCGTTTCTCGGACTCGAGTCTAGTATTGTAGACTCGCCGTCGCGTAGTGTTCGAGGAGTGCGCCAACAGCGTCTTGCTGACTCGCTATAAGGACACTTGTAGAAACCCTACAACTCAGTTGTTCGGCTGGCCAGGCTGGTCTGCTTTCTTTTCGGATCCCTGGTTTCGGATTCTTCCGGGACTCGATTTACGTGTCTGCGTCGAGTGACTTGAGCGCCATCGATATCCCCCCCTAATCCCCTCTCTCAACATCCCTTTTGATCCGCTTTCTCCCTGTCCGCGCTGGTCGTTGTTCCGCGGATTGTCTTCCGTGACTCGCTATCCGAGCAGGAGGCAAGCTCGTCGTTCAATACATCGCCAAGAGAGCCAATGGCGTCAAGTGCGGCAAGTGCCCGCGCATCCTGCCTGGTGTAAGTCACTATCGCTATTACTTTTGTGTCCACCCAAAACGCATCCTCGCATCCTGCCCCGTTTAAGACTCCAAGCAGGCTGGAGTAGCTCCCGCAAAACTTCCTGGTGTTCTCTCCCTAATCGCCACCAGTAGCAAATCAGGCGAGGCCGAACGAACGTCTCTCATTGTCACTGCGCAGATGCCTACCTTCTGTTTCTGGCGTGCATTTGCCGCGCGCAAGTCTGGCGCAGTAACTCTTGACGATTTTGTTCCTCCCTTTCCCTCCTTCCCCTTTCTCGCTCCGCCCCTCATCCGCGCAGGTCCCCGCGCTCCCGCGCACAAGCTCACGCGCAACCTGATGTCGCGCAAGCAGAAGAGCGTCACGCGCATCTACGGCGGCGCATCTGCGGGAAATGCGTTCGCGAGAGGTAGGGCGGAGGGGAATTGCGCGAGAGAATGCCGCGCTAAAGTCAAAGCGGGGGTTACTTGCGCGAGAGGTAAGGGGAGGACGGAGGTGATGCTCGGGGCGGGTGGTATGATCTGCAGGATCTCTTGGCTCGGGAGACGAGTCGGGGTGAGGGCGGGCGACGAGGGGTGAAGCGAAGCGGGGGTTCAAGGGATCCGTTGCTCCCTCCAGCCGCGGTGCACATCAGGATCGCCCTTCCATCGCCAAAATACCTCACTCTTTCTCTCTCTCCCCCTCCTCCCCCCCCCCCATCCCGCTCCCGCTCCCGCTCTCGCTCCCCCTGCCCCTGCCCCTCTGGTCATCACCCCCCTCTCTTCTCTCCCCCGTTAGAATCATCCGCGCGTTCCTGGTGGAGGAGCAGAAGATCGTGAAGAAGGTGCTGAAGCCCCTAAGGAGGGTGTCGGTTCGAACCCTTTCCTTTCCAACCTCTCTTCTTCCCCTTTCTCTTCTTTCCCCCTCTCTTCTTTCCCGTATTCTCTCTCTCTCTCTCTCTCTCTCTCTCTCTCTCTTCCTCTCTCTCTCTCTCTCAGAATCATCCGCGCGTTCCTGGTGGAGGAGCAGAAGATCGTGAAGAAGGTGCTCAAGCTGCAGAAGTCCAAGGAGAAGATCGCCTCCAAGGTCCCTGCCTAAAATGATGCAGAAAAGGCTACCAGGGACACGTTGAAATGCACCGCCTTAGGCCAGGATTGTGGTTTGTTGATGTGGCAGTGTCTGTCTGTTGTCCCTTGGATGTATGTATGGTTAGTTAAAGCTCACTCCACCAAGCTCTTTCCTGTGCTGCCCGCACTAGATTACCGGCTCTAGCCTGTGCAAGTTGGATTTTCATGCAACTATGGTAATCTGAGGTGCACCATCTGTTAACTTCTGTTCATGGTATGTTGTTATAGGCTAGATAGGTGCATGCTCATAGAGAGTACATGTTAGAATGATAGTATGATGCAGAATGAGAGTACATGAGAATGTAGGCAAGTGTTGTACCCTCTAAGGCACAAACCTATACTGTCAACAATAACATACTAGATATGTTTCGACCCACCCCAGACCAGGCTCTCAAAGGAAAACTGAATAATAATTGACTAGAAAGAATTGTACAAGGACATATATCTAAGGGTTGTACTCTCTAAGAGATGACCCTATACAGTCTACAAACATTGTAGATAAACATGTTTGACACACCCCCTAGACTGCATAGGGGCAGGTTCTGACAAGCAGCTCAGGGCGGCACTACTAGTCCAGCCTCTGAGACAAGGGTCTAAAGACCAGTCAAAAGGAGTACAGACAAGACAAGAACAAGACCAGGACACACTACTAGTCCAGCCACTGGGAGAGGACACAAGTCCAGTCTGAGTACATATGCAGACATATATAGAATAGTACAAGGTCAAGGTCCTAGCAAGTGAGAGGCTACAGGAACTAGACCCAGCTGTACACAGTGCCTCTGATGATCTTTAGGCGCAAGCGCCTTCGTAAAGATATCAGCTGTGTTGGCACCAGAGGCCAAGTGAACTACGCGGGCCTGGCGGCGCTGCTGTAGCTCGCGCAGGAGAAAGTACCGCAGCTGAATGTGCTTCGCTCTGCCCTCAAGCCGAGGCTCCTGACACAGGAGGATCATGGCCCTGTTGTCAGCGTACAGGACCGGGGCAGAGCTAGGCCGCTCACCTAAGTGAGCAAGAAGGTCAGCCAGCGGAGCTCCTGTGCCGCCATGGCACCAGCGTAGATCTCAGCCTCACAGCTGGACTGAGCAACAGACGACGAGCGAGTGGATCTCCAAGAGATAGCACCCGAACCAAGGCTAAAGCAGTAGCCCTGCGACGACCTGAGCGTCTCAGAGTCGTCTGCCCAAGACGCGTCTGTGTGCCCAGTGAGGACCACTGGCCTGCGTCCTCCTAGCACTAACCCCATGCCGATGTACTTGCTAGATATCGCAAAACCCTCTTAGCGGCCGACCAGTGCTGTGGTCGGTGTCTGCCAGTGGCCACAAAGCGAGCCAGGATGCTGAGAGGGTATGCGAGATCTGGGCGAGTGCAAGTCATCAGGTACATGAGGCAACCCACCAGCTCTGCGTAGGGGCCGCTGGGCTCTACTGGCTCCTCAGGAACGGGAGCGAGAGCCCGTGGTCTACGGGTAGAGGTGTGGGCTGTGCAGAGGAGAACTGAAGGCCGAACCTCTGAAGGACCTGACGCACCAAGTGTGACTGTGTCAGAGTGATGGTGCGTGCTGCTTGTCGTCCCTAGAGATCTGCAGGCCAAGATAGCGACGCAGCTCTCCAAGGTCAGTGCAGGTGTGTCTCTTCAGCAGCTCGGCCTTCACTGAGGCCAGTGCGTCCCTGTCAGCAGTAGCAAAGACCAGGTCGTCTACGTAGACAAGGATGTAGAACGGAGTCTGGCCGGACGCACAAAAAGCGAGGGTCAGAGGACGACGGAAAGAACTGCAGGTCTGCTAACGTGGCACGCAGCGTGTCGTGCCACTCGCGGGGAGCCTGGGCAGGCCGTAGACCGGGCGCCTGAGAAGCCACTGGGTCCCAGGGGGAAGGTACCAGTGAAGCCCTGTGGTCGGCGCAGGTAGACCTGCTCGTGTAGGCTGCCCTGAAGAAAGGCAGTAGAGAAGTCGAGGGAGTGAAGCTCGTAGTCGCGCTGTGCTGCTACGTGTAGCAGCGCCCGAAGAGTGGTCATCTTCGGGGTCGGGGCGAAGGTCTGGAAGAAGTCCACCCCCTCGCGCTGACTGAAACCTCTGGCCACGTAGCGCGCCTGAAGACCTTGAAGAGCCACCGACCATCGACTACGTTCACCCCAGGCGGGGGAACTGCGTCGACGTAAGTGCCGGTGGACCTCCAAGATGCCATCTCCTGCTCCATGGCAGCTATCCACTGAGAGGCCCAAGGTCCCGAGTGGCCTCAGCGTAGGTGCGAGGGGTCGGGATGTCGAAGGCGTCTGGGTCACCCTCAGGGACTAGCATGGAGCAGAGATGGGGAGCGCCTCGGAAAGGAAAGCAAGCTCGTACTGCCTGTCCTCTAGACGTCACTGCCAAGGGCAGGAGCACCCCGACGGACAGGACGGGCAGGGTCAGAGACCAGAGCGTAGCGTAGTCAAGGCGGCGGGTAGAGGCGAAGTCAGCGACAGCAGCGACAAGCGCGTCAAGGCGCGAGACAGGAACAGGGTCGGTAACAAGAGAGGCAAGGACCCGAGGGACAAGGGGACGAGCGCACGGAGGTAGTCAGAGAACGGAGGAGGTGCAACAGCAAGGGACGAGGGAGGAGGGGACGGGAGGAGGGGAGGACGAGACGAGTGGGAACGGAGCAACATAGGGTGGGGCAGGACAGGAGAGACGGGACGAGCACGGGAGGGACGGCGAGCCAAACGTGAGACGG